TTTCTTTCTTTTTCTTTCTTTCTTTTTCTTTCTTTCTTTTTCTTTCTTTCTTTTTCTTTCCCTCAGTGTTTATTTTCTCAGTCTCGGAGAGATGCTATGCATACAGTGTTAGAGAGTTGTTTTTCTCAAGTCCTTTAAGTCCTACTGGACATAAACAAAACTGGACAACTGTAAAGCTTATTTGAAGGTTGGCGTGTCTTCCAGAAAAAAATAGAAGTGTTACAAAAAATGTGAATGCTCTAGTCAATCAGAATCTAAATTAAATTGTCAAAGAATTCTTATGAAAGTTAGGTAGCCTTAACAGCGCATGCTTGTGAAAGACTGAGACATGAAACTCCAAGTCGCTCCAATGAAGAAGAAAAGAGAACAAAGGCTTCTTGTCTCCTGCTGCTTAATCACTTTTGCTTTTGATGAGGAAAAAAAACAAGAGGTGACTAAATATGTCTGTTTTTCAGAGCTGTACAAACAGCTATCTGCTTCCGTGTTTGGCTTCTAAATGAGATGATACGCCATCTGATGTTACTAGGATGTAGCTCAAGTTCTGTGTGTCCATTGGCAACCTCGGACTCGACAGGAAATTCTCTTGTTCAGGAGTTTATTTTGCGACATTTCAAGTCATTATCTTTGCTGCCAAGTTACTTGTTTTTACAGGGACAGCTGACCGGCGCAATTGGGAAAGAATGAAACTCACCTGACAACTCTTGTAGTGGCTGTATAAGTTAGTAGGAATGCAACTTTGGTGGGTTTTTGGCTCTCAATATCCACAGATCTAGTTTTTAATCACCTTACCTGGTACAAGTGATTGGGAATTCTATCTGAGCAGCAGGTGCTGAAGCAGGGTAATGTCTATAAAATACAGTATTGTTTTATCAGTGGCTCCCCCTCCTTGCAGTCATACTTTTCACCAGCCCATGGCTGATGGTCATTTCAGCCTAATTTGTTCTTTTCTTTAAGCACTCCAGAATACTGAAAAAATTTTGCCACTGAGCTGAGCTGTTTACCATCCCACTGATAGTAGCTTTTTCTGGATGCTTACTTTTTTTTTGTCATGAGATCAGGTCACTGAAGAATAGATTTTTTGGATTGATTTTCCTTCCAGCATTAGGGGACAGGGGTTGCATTGAAAGTGATAGTTTGAGAACGAAGCTGCAGGGATCAGGCAGCTGTGTAAATGCTGGTGGCAAGCTATTACCCAGTGTATTACATGGAGGAGCTGAAGAGGTCAACATGTGATAGGCAAGACCCGGGATTTCACTGGTGAGGTGACCCTCTGAGAACAGAGCAGAGGACTCAGAAAAATTAATGGACATAAGACATCTCCCCAACAGCTCTCTTTCTGGACCTGAAACTTACCTCATGGGTGAACAGGGGACCACCAAGCTGAGACATTTTGATGAACTAAGGGTGTCTGGTGGCACTGTGACTGACCAGGGGAGATAGTTGAGGCCATGACTGAAGCCATCTAGTTGCATCTTAGTGGAAAGAGTTTCCTACTTAGAGCTCATTCTGGAGTTGCTTTTTTAGCTTTGTAGGCAGCTTCTTGAACACATTCCTTTCTCTATTACAAATGTTTGTCTTGTCCATGCACAGGCAGCCTCTGGAAGGTACTGTATTTAAAATTTGCACTATTGCACTATTATTGGTATATTCTGGCTACATCTATCATGTTCCTAGGAGTTTATAACAGCGTAATTGTCAATATTCATACACTGTGCAATAAATGGAAGTACTTTTATTTCAAAGAAAATTAAAGACTTTGGCTCAGATTCTTAAAGTGTTTATAATTTGGAATTATCCCAGTCAATAGAATTTGTAATTTATAGAAAGCTTGTGTGTGTAAATGTCTGTGGGGCAAGTGCCTTTGCATGTCAACTACAATAAGCTGTTTGTGAATGTTTTGGCCTGTACTGAAGTTGTTTTCTCTGCTTGTTGGCAGATGTTGATGAATTAACAACTATAAAACGAGAACTGAATTACAGAATTTCCGTTCAATCAGCGAAGTTGCTCCGTCTTCTGAAGCAGAAAGACAGGCTTGTACAAAAAGTCCAGAAGAACTGCGACATTGTCACAGCTTGTTTACAGGCAGTTTCCCAGAAACGCTGTAAGTACTTTCTGTGTACCAGTGTAAGTAGTTCATTTCATTAATGTGAGCAGTATTTCATTTAAGCCCTCACACTTCATTTAAAGTCAAGAGGCCGGGCTATGTTATTCCTTAGATATGACTGGCTCCTAATGATGTCAATGGTACCTGGAAACAGGCAAAGTTCAACTAGTTCAGCTGGGTGAGCTGCTGTAGCCTCAGCTGTGTGTATTGGTGTGGCACCCTGAATGTAGGCTGGCTCCCGTGCTCATTCCCAGCTTTAATTTACAGAAAGCCCAAGCTGATTTTTTTCAGTCTCCATGCTTTGTGTACTGGGTTTCATGTGGCTATAAGGGAGATGCTGGTAGTGAACATTTTTGTCATTGACAGCTATAAACAGTATATGGAATTCTATAATCAGAGCATTGTTAGTTCTGTGTTACTCCTTTTTATCAAGTTTATCCAAGTTGAGGATTATTGGTGAAAACAAACTTACTTGCCTCTAAGCCCTTTATCAATACCAGTGGTGGTTTCTGAAAGAGTGCATGGGAAAGAGAAGAAATGTTATTCTTTAATTGTTTTGCCTTTCTGCACAGTGAAACCTTTTATTTGACTTGGCAAAGTCTATCTCAAGATAGACTGAAGTGCCTTTTGGTGGTTCTGCTAAATCAAAACTGCATGTAACGTCATGTGCAAAAATAAATAGAAATAGTGCCTTTGAAAAGGATATGTGAAAATAACCTCATGTTCCATCTTATTTTTTCATTAACATGCAGCGTGACAGGTACAGAAATGTTCAGGTACAGTAAATAAAGCATGGTCTTTTCATAAAAATGTCTGTAGGAGCTTTGAGGTGCATGTGAAAATTTAATAAAGGAATTTTACTGTAGTGGCATGTGCTAATGTAGTCTAGTTAAGGGTTTGTCTATTAATGTGGAACTTAATTTTTAAATGTTTAAAAGCATTCCTTTGTTTTGCTTAAATCTGGCATGAAAGTTCTTGGCTGTCATGTACTGTGGAGATGTATTTCTTCTCAAAAACTCTTTTCTTAATGTCAGCTTGATAACCAAGGTTTCCATACCATCAGTATGGAAACGTATACTGTAGTCTCCTTTTAAATGAGATTACTTGAATTTTCTACATATTTGACTTTAAATTCTGAATGCTTTTTTTCCCCCAGCGAAATCTCTGTG